CTGCCAGACCCAGCACCCGGGGAACCCAGGAACCCCCCGGAGCCTGTCACCTCCAGGCCGGTCACAGCTCAGGCCCGGGCAGGGCCCTTACCTCCGCCCACTCTCCGGGCCAGGGAGCCCTGCTCATAGGAGGCTGGGAGGCGGTGGTGTCTCTGGATTCCCTCCACACGGCAGGGGTGCGGCCAGGGCGGGGAGCCCCTTCCAACTATCTTTCCCTCCCCCGACGCTGTCCTCCTGGCCACTACTCCCTGGGACCCAAAAGCAGATTCTGCTCTTAAGTCCTCCAGAAAGGCCTGAAGTCTTTTCTCCACCTACTTTCATGGTTCCCAACCGAAGGGCACCCTGGAAAGCTGGGACTGGCCCGGAGGACTGTCCCTGCTGTTCCCCCACCCTGACCCCCAGATTGGCCATCCAGCTGCTTGCCCTCCCCCCAGCCACATAGGAAGTGGTTTGTGAGGGCTTGACCCACAGACTGCGCTGTCCTCTGCCTTCCCAGCCTGGAAGGAAATGAAAGGGAAATCCTTACAGCTCTCTGGAGGGAGAACTAGATAGGGGAGCTGTTCCAGCTGCCCAGGCCTTCTTCGGAAACCTGGGTCGTCTCTGTCGCCAAGTTGACCTGCTTGGTGGATTCAGTTACAAAGTCTGCGGGGCAGTGTCTCTTTCCCAACTAGATAAATACCCAGAGGCCCTGACCTCTCAGCCCCTGGGAGGGGACTTTTCTGAGCCCTTCCAGGTGTGACTCCTCTCTGCCTTGCAGGGGAACCCCTTCTTCCTGCACCCCACCTGCTCCAACCCCATTTGGGAATTGCAGGCACTCTGGGGTTTTCCCGGACTTCTTTTGTGTGGCTTTCTCTGCTGAGGTGCAAACACACATAGGGTCACTCACTTTCCTAATGGACCCAGAGAGCCAGGGTGTGGACAGGCTGGGAGAGACAGCCTTAGTACCTAGTGGGCTGTGAGTATGTGCTGGAGACCACAGTCACCCTTTCCGGCCTCATCGATGTGCTCAACTCACCCTTATTTACTAGAGGATTCTGGGACATATAAAACGTTGGCCCAAGGCCCACACCTCCAGCAACCCTTATTGACCCATGTGGGTGGCAGTAGCGGGGGAAGCTGGCATGATGGAGGGACATGGGTCTGGAAAGGTTCCCTTTGGTGCCAGGCAAAAGCATCTGTATGCCAAAGCTCTTTGTAAACTGTAGAGCACCCTCTCTGCATGAGGAATGGTTCTTGGCCGGAGATCTTTCTTTCTTGTAAAACGTTTGGCTGCCTCTTTGGGGAACTGGCTTCAGGTGACCGAGGCTTTAGAGGACAGTTCGTGGAGTGTGTCTTCAGTGTCTTCATCTGTCTCCCCAGTTATTTATTCTTTTACTAAACATTTGTCGAGCGCTGCATGGGCCCCTAGGGCTTGGCAGCCATGGCCAGTGAAGGCCCCAGACCATAGGCCAGCGAGGCCGTATGTAGGAATGTGGGTGACCAGGTGGGGGACTGTGATGTGGATGCTGGAAGTGTGGGTGACTGGATCGGTGACTCCAGAGAGGAGATGTCAAGAGGGGTTCCTAATCAGCCCCTACTAGCTTCACCCTGTAGTGGCCTTTTTGCCCACGTGTGGATCTTTGCAATGAAATCCTGGCATTTGGGGCCACCAGGAGTCCCCTGTGTGAGCAGGATGCTGTGTCTCTTCTTGGAACTTTCTGGCCTCCAGAATCCTAGCTGTGGCTCAGACCTGCCTCCTGTCACTTGGTTGCTGTGTGCTTCAGTTTCCCTATACGGGGGCACAGTGTGGAAGGAGTGGGTAAGGGTTATCTACAGCCATGGTCTCTCGTGGTCTGACTTCAGAGAACTCTGTGTCTCTCCCAGGATCTCAGTTTGCTATGTGTTCAGTCTGAGCCCTGCCATCCCCAGGGTGCTCCATCTGGGTTGGAAGCCTCTCCTAAGGAGAAGGGATGTGCCTGCTTACAGGCGGTGCTGTGGGAACACAAGTGGCTTCTCTTCTGCTCATAGGCCAGTGACTTCCTTGGAGGGCTGAAGGGCTGGCTTCTGACTTCTGGAAGGCCGTCTGGGCCTCAGACTCCCCCCCGCAACACACACACACACACACACACACACACACACACACACACACACCAGCTCAGATCCCCAGCTGTCTCTTGGGGACAGGCCTCTACTCCATCCAGGGCTTAGCTGGTGACCTGATATGGCTCCAAAATAGCAACTGGCCGAGAAGGCAAGAAGAAATCCCCCACCTCAGTTCCACCAAGGGGCTGGTTGGAGAGGCAGCGAGTCCTTTGTGGCTGGACCCAGGGCTCAGGAGCTTTGCCATTCTGTGTGAGGCCCAGCAGACCAGTGGCAGCACCCTCGGATGTGACTTGCATGCTGACCGCTGACCATGGCTGCCTGTGCCAGCCCCTGTGCCAAGAGCCCACCCCCTCCTGCCCCACCCCCAGGCTGCTCCCACCACAATAGCAAAACACCATGAATGCAGCTGGCACTGGGGGGAGGCGAGGACATGGGGGCACAGAAGCCCATTGTGCCCCAGAAACCTCGGCCACAGAGGCTGAAGGTAAGCCAAGGGCTCTGAGCAGAGAGGGAGATGGCAGTGCTCACACGCAAGGGCAGGGGCAGACACCAGGGGGTAACCTTTAACTGGCCATGGGCACCTGGTAGAATTTCTTAAAAGACCCTAGGCCCTGTGAACCCCACTTTCAGAAACCTGATCTGTTGGAAACTCTTGGGGCCCTTGCCTGAGCACCCCTCTCCCCAGGTGCCCAAGTAAGGCGGATCTTAGGAGGAGCAGAAGGCGGGATGTGAGGGATCTTCCCCTCCAAGCTCTGTTTAGAATCAAAATTTGCAGCAGTGTAGGGGCTGTGGGATTCCACCTCTGGAAAAGCAGTTAATACATTACCTTCAAGGCCCAGGAAGATGCTCAGACCTCCCCCTAGCCTTTTGGGGAGTTACAGCTGGCCTTCTCCTTTTAGGTGGGCTTATGAGGTCTGTGTAGCCCAGGCTGACCTCAAACTCCTAGCGATCTTCCTGTCTCAGCCTCCCAAGTGCTGGGATTACGGACATGCACGATTCTGCTTTCCCTTTTCCTCCTGGACAGAGGCAGCTGGAAGGCTTGGCCCTACTGTCAAGTGACCCCTATTTTGTGGCTATTGGGGAAGGCTTCAGGGTGAAACACATTGGGAAAGCACACCATCTTTTCTTTGTGTTCAGACAATGCCGGGTGGCCGTGTGAAGGCTCTGAGAGGTGCTGCAGAACCAAATGTATGCACTGGTCTTCAGCCCCACATTTCCCATACCTGTTGGGCCAGAGAATGATTTTGGCTTCGGACACCTGCCTGGGTTCCTCAGGCCCTGCAGCACTCCTAGAGCTAGCACCGCCCTTGTGGCCAAATTCCACATTTAGGGAGCTGTTCTCCAAGTGCCCTCCTAGGTCCTGGCACAATCTCCAGCAGCACCATAGACCTCTCCTCTTTGCCACATGGCCCAGCCACTGGAGATTCGGGACCAGCAGCCAGGGTGTCATGAGGCTTCAGGGCCACCTCCTGGGGCCTTCTGTGCACGTGGCTATTAGAATCCTTAGAAGAGAAAGCATGGGTCCTGCTTTCAAAGGTCCCACCTGGACAGCGCCCTGGGTTTTGCCTGTCACCTGTGCCCACAGCCAGTGGAAATGAGCCAAGGGACTACCAACGTGGGCGTGTGGGACAAAAGCATCCTCTTCCCGAGGATGGGTGTGTGCCTAGCAGGGCTGCAAGTGACCTCCAGGGGCTGGAGCTGTGATCTGCAAGGGATAGGGAGGGGGCGGCCCCAGGGTCTGTAAGAAATGGTCTTTCCACCTTGGCCAGCAGCTAGGGAAGATACCCCAGCCCCCTTGGGAGGCTGAACAGTAGTGACTCAGTTAGGGATGGAGCTGACCAAGGCGGCCTGGCCCTCCCTCACAGAAGGCGGCCTGAGTGGGTGTGGGCTCGGAGACCCTGCTGTCTTGGGGTGAGGCGGGAAGGGAGGGGCCGTGGGTGGTGTTAGTGATTAGTAATCAGCAGCGGCTGAGAGCCAGGTGCAGCAGCATCAGAGAGGCCAGCACTGGCCGTGGAGAAAGTGGTGTGTGGTGAATGGCCCTCTCAGACTCCTGATGCCGCCTTACTCTTGGCATCTCTTTCTTGATAGCTCCTATTTTACAGAAAGTAAAGCAGAGGCCTGGCCCATCACTCACAGATCAGGGGCACAGCACAATCTAAAACTCCTCTGTGCCAGCCAGGAGTTGTCCCTGTGGCCTGTCCAGCAGTTGGTCCCCAGCTCAGGTCCTGCTTCCTCTGGGACCCTGTGCAGGGCAGGCAGGAGTCAGAAGCCTCCTGTCCAACCGCAGGGCCCCTGACAGTTTGTCCCAGACCCCAAGCCCTGTGCGGAAAGCTGGACACTGGTCATGGTGCAGGGTTTGCTACCCCATTCCTGCTTGGGCCAGCCTGGATTTGGAGAAGCAGAGAAACACGCTTTGTTTTGGTTCCCATATCACAGCCTGTGTGTGGCAGCCTTGTTGTCCAAATGGGGAAACTGAGGCTTTTCGAGAGGAAGAGGACACATTAGGGAGAGAGAGACAGAACTGGGGCTCTTCGGTGCTGTGAGAGTGGGAATCTTGTCTTTTTTCCACTGAACAGTCCCGGCAGCTGACATTCAGTCGGTGCCTGAGCATGCCAGTTGCTCAGCTGGTGTGCTGGAGGGGTGGAAGGACGGGTAGTGAACAGAGGGACGTCATGAAACCTCCACTCTTCCATCTCCAGACCTGTGAGCACGCAGATGCTCTCCTTAGCCTCTTAGCTTCCTGATTTTTCTCAAGGAAGTAATGTTTGTTGGTTGCTTGATTCATTGGAATGACCGACTTGGAGCCAGTGGAGCCCGATCCCTAGCAATGTCCCTCTGGAAGCTTAGTGTGCTGATGGTCCTCACCTTGTATGGTGTTGGCCCTCCAAGCCACTGAAGACAGCCTGAGTTCCTATGATGGGCACAGCGCTCAGAGCACAAGCATGAGTGCACACACATGCTCAAGGTTTGCATGTGGCTTCAGGGCTGTCATGGATACCCCATAAGACAATAAATCCCAGATCCAGGTCTGGCCTCAGTGGTGCTCCAGACTGGCTAAGTAGTAGGGCCCTTTCCAGTTCAGGGACCCCAGATTCATGCTTTCTGCTTGCATTTGGCAACTATGCTGTAGAGAGGAAAGGAAGCAGGTCCTTGGTGCTTGGGTGCCAGTTGCAGGGAAGGCCCAGAGCTGTGAAAATGAGTGCCCGTCAGGTGAGTGGTGATCTGGCCAGGGGGAAGATCTCCCCTTGGTCTTCCCTGTTTTGTCCTGCTGTCACTGCCTTCACCCCTACCCCGACCTCCTGGTCCTTTCCCCATTTCTTTCTGCCCATTTCCTGCATCAGAAGGAACTTAGGTATCTTCATTAGATTTGATTTTTTTTTTTTTTTTTTTTTTTTTTTTTTT